GAAATATTGAGATTTAATCGTGATAGTCGACGTTATCATCATCATCACATGTCGAGCATTTGTTGGTCCATACTGAGCTGAGTCGTTGGAAATGTTTGAATTTGTCGACATGCATTCTAAAGAATTGCTTTATATAGTGTCTTATAATATTTGTCCGGTGGGGATATGATGTAATTCGCTCGGATTCCATGGAGAACGTATTCCGATACGTCAAAAATTCGCCTGTCAATTCTCTTCGTAAAGATATTCTAGAAATAGATACCGCAAAAACAAACCGATGAGTGTCGCCAGCTCCGACTAATTATTCACTGAGGGACAATATGGAAATGAACGATGAACTCAAGCCTTTCTGAGTTCGAAATTAATTTGGTGGTTTAGCCGTGTGTTGAGGCTAATGTCATAGATGATTGCACAGTATCAAAGCGGCAGATGTTTGTGAGTTACCGTGTAATACGTGTCATTCGGTAACCTTAGGACGACAGGTTGTCCTTCCTTCTTACACCGCTGAAGATCGCGGTTCAAATCCCTCTATGCGGATTGGGTTTGTTATTCTCTACGTCATAGTCTTGACATTCACTGGCTATACATCACAAGAGCTAATTCACTTTCAACCACACGTGTTTATTATATGTCTCCATAATCTGCAACCTGCCTGTTACTTATTGCGAGGATCTTACACACTGGGAAAACCGCGTTTTATACCATGTGGAATATTAGCCAATGAGCATTCAGAGTTGATTTGTGACGGATTAACTGCGGGTACAGGTGTATCTGTAACCATCTATACCTAGTATGAGGCCAACAATGGGAGTTACTATACTACTCACGTCTATTCTAGACTGTTTGTCCAGTTATTGATTGCAAGTTTTAAAGTCCACGTTAGAAAAGAGAAAATTGAAAGGGAACACACCTCGACCGTTTGGAGCATGCAGCGGGCAGATATTGATCGCTTGGTGCTGGCCCAGTGTAACATGAACACATTGCCTCATCGTGTTTTATAATTTGTCAACAGTAATTGCTGCTCAGACACTCCAGTAATTAATTAATTGGAATTCAATTTAATTGTCCGTCTTTGTGCTTGAAATCGGCTGGATCTGAACAAGTCTACGATACAGATTTGGTGTCCCTGTTGCGGCATTGTATACGGTATTTATTGCTGAGACGGCTCGCAAACGAACCAGTATTATCATCAATCCTGTGGACAACAACATGACTGCGGGTGGTATCGACAAAATGGTGCTGTACCTCGGTAACTTACTAACATGACATGTCCGAATTACGCTTATCTCATCGTTTTGTTGTTTCTTTGCTTTTCTTTTTTTGCCCTGAACATCTCACGCTTGTCGGTATAACATTACGTAGAAGTCACCAAAGCATAGTAACATTTTTTGTAAAATACCTGAATGTGAGCTTTGAGTATTACTTGAAACAACAAGTTACATGATGTTATAGGGTTTTCAGACAAGTATAAACACGCTTGTGCCCAATGTCGTTTCTTAATTTGAACTGTTTACACACGGGTGAGTGTCTCTTTTAGTAGCAGACAGCAAAGAATGACACATTACATTTGTTGTTCAACTGAATATTGTTGAAACCTGGTTCCACTTTACTTGAAAGCTATTTACTGGAGTGATGTGGATATTTATTGGCTCAACTGTGTTCGTGACCGAGTGGAGTGTACATGTATATACAACGTGTCACTGTGACTGAGGATAATTATGCTCCAGTAGGGATGGTTCTGAAATCAAATTATTTTTTAGATTGAACGATTTGCCATTGGGTAATTAGCTTGAATAAACCATGCAGACCGAGTGATCCAAAAAATGTATAACTGCTCAGAAACAGTATTAGAGAAAGGCGGCCTCTTTCCTAGACCATCACAATTTTAAAGAATGTTATCACGCTGCATTGTGTTGCATTTTTATTTACAAACACCACAACATACTGAAGAAAATCCTTCAGTTACCTTTGCGAAGTTTAACACATATACATCATAAATTCACTGACTTCATTTTTAAGCTTTATCATGGAGTCCAAACGCTACTTCGTTATTCGCACCCCGAGGCATTGGCTCTTCATAAATATTCACACCGAGGTAACGTTTGTTTTGGGAAATCGATTTCAATTTGAAACGCCCGTTTGAGCAGGTTGTTTGGGGCAGCTGTATTTTAGCTCGTTCCATTATCATGTGGAGTTCACAGGTGAAATGTCTATAGCTTGGGGCAGCCATGATGGTCGCAGAAAGACTCTGGAAATATACGAAGAGAATTTACTTTCACTGGTCCATTATTTGTCAGTCATCGTTCAATTGGTAAGTCATCCATTCATTCAGTCAGTCACTCAACCAGTCTTCAGTCGATTAGTCAATAAACCAGTCACTTATTGATCAGTTACACATTCAATCAGTCAAACACGTTTCCATGAACTTCCTCTCACAGTCTTTTTGTCCCTCAACATTTTAACCAGATAACGGCAGGCCTAAACTCTCATATGAAACGATTTTCAATCAAGCGAACGTTTCCTACCGGCCAGATTTGATACTTGTACAACTCTCCGACAGCGTTTCCAACAGTATTAGAGATTTCTTTCAAGTATTCGAAAGGGAAATCACAATTGTTTTTTAACAGCTTCCAGTAATAGCAGAACCATCAACAAATCGCAACTGTCAACAATAGAACACATCAGTTACACTAACCCTTCTAATTTGCATTTAGATTGTTTTGGAGAATGGAGTGTATCGAGTTTATTGGCGCTCGGTTGGGAGGTCATTGATGAAATACCACACAGCAGCGGGGTTGCTATTAATATTCACTGCCTGATTAGCTCAACTGCAAATATATACATTAGTGACTCGCTCTGCAACTTGAAATTAGTCTGATGTCGCATAATTTGAATTCAAGCTTTCGCCATTTTGAAATGGATACAATTCAAATTTGATTTTTTTTTAATTTTTTTTTTGATTTTGGTTGTTTTGATAGTTTTAGTTGAAATGTCTTACAGGGAAATATAACTAATGTTTGAAAAAGAGTTTCGAAATTAGGATTGTTGGTGTTTTCCTGGTTAGTTGCAGTATATTTGTCATTTTTCACACCATTTTTCCCCATTGAGACTTTTCTAGCGTAATAAAAAAAATTACAGAATGAAACAAGTACAACAATGCAACCAAACATCCTAGAGATGTCCATGATTTACCAAATGAAAGCTTATTTCATTTCCATTTCATTAATGTATATAGTTAAACTCAAAATGTGAGTTTTGCAACAACAGACTCATTTTTGCAGAACAGATTATAAATTAAAAGTCATTAAAATTATGTTATCCAGGTACCGTTAATTGTCAGCATTGATACAATATATCGTTTCGATATAGTTCAGGAGGAGGATTACCACCGTTTGTAATACCTGTTCTGTAGCTAACAGATGGGAAAATACAAACAACTAGCGTTTCATCAAGAGCAGGATCCAATTGCGGAGGAGACTCTGAACTAAGATTTAGTATCGCGTAATAACTGTATCGTCTTTCTAGTGGTCGGCCATTTGAATTAGTGTAAATTTCTGTCAAAGATGAATGCTTTTGCAATATCGATTGAGTGAATTGAGTCTCTTTTGAGCTGTTGAGACGAATAATATATAACAATTGTTGCCGTGCGTCAGCTAATTACCTTGTGTACACTTTATAAACTTACACACCATAGCCCTGCGGTAAAAAAAGTTGTTTTCACTGAAAACTCCCGAAGACATCGTTTGGTTCAAAGGCCCGGACCCTTCACTAATGATGTTATTTTCCTACGACTCAGGACGTCCTGTCGTAGCAGACAGCACAATATGCCGCGGGCAGGATTCCCACCCTATTCTCCCGCCAACATTGCCGATGTCATTGACTTGCCGGGTTTTCCAACTACACAAAAAAAGTGGAAGAAACCATTTTTTGGCCGGCTCTCTTTTTTAAGTCTAGCTCATTATTGTTTTCAAGGAGATGCTCAACAAAATTGATTCTTTAATTTTATACTATTCTAATAAAGTATGGAAGCTTTGCGATAAAACCATGTGAATATGTGTAGTGAGAAGAACAAGTTGTTTTAACTCGACGTTTCAAACAGTGTGCTCTGTTCGTCATCAGGAAAGTCTCCTGATGACGAACAGAGCACACTGTTTGAAACGTCGAGATAAAACAACCGGATCTTCTCAGTACGACACACTCAATGGAGATAATATTCACATGGTTTTATCGCAAAGCTCCCAACTTTGTTCATGATCGCCATGCAAACCTATAAGTATCATTTAATATTATTACGGTAGAACGTTTTTAAGTCGTATAATTTTTAGTTTAAAAATGGGTACTATTTATAAATAAAAGTACTAAAAATGTCATCGCACCTCCAAGTGACGCCGCTTTAGAGTCCTCCACTAGGTCCAAAAATGGCCTTTGAATAGAAATACTTTGGCCTTTTCCGAAAAGTTGTTCTTTTAACGACGATTTTTTTTCCTGCCTCAGAAGGGTGAATTAATCATATTTCTATTTCATCAATTGTTCAAAATTGTGTCGGGTGTTTGAAAACTATTCACGTCCAGTAATTTCTGAAGTTGGTTACAAAATACTAATTAGAAAAAAACAAATGCGTTGAGAGATATCGCTCCTTTAATTGCCTTTCGTTGTAAGCCACTGGACCCCTTTTTATTTGATTTTCTCTGATGGTAAAGTCAGGTATAGCGTTTGTGACAGATGTGGGTCAAGTCCTACATCATCATAGAACATGGTGGGTCGCCAGTCCTAGTAATCTAAAATATTGTAGAGACGTTTCATAACATTTTGACGGAGTGGGAGGTTTTATTCACTGAAAACCAACGATTCAACATGAAGAGTTGGTTTGGTTGTGTGACGATAGGTTGGGACTGCACGTCGAGTCCCGCGCCATTTAACTCTTGACCGCTTTTCATTATAAATCAAATATTTCTGCTTCATTCACGGGAATCTTTTCTCTCCTTTCTTTCCCTTTGCAGGAGTTTACCCTCGCTCAGTCCAAGGAGTACATGAAGTGCTTTTTGCTGAATGAGTAGTAAGACGTTGGAGACTACAGACTCCTCATCGAAGCCAGCGACAAGAATAAACTCAGAGTTATTCTTAACGTGCGGTCCACTTACCTTCCCGATCCCAGAACAAACATTCCTTCACCGTGATTTGCAGAAGAGTGCTGCCCGCGCCAGACGTATTCGGTTTCAAAGAACATTTTTTCAGCGGGAACAAGCAATTTGGACAAGGATTTTTCCAGCCCGTAGAATTGTGGTTAATTTTTAATGGAGTCGTGTGAGAAGTGTCCACGTGCATGCCAACCGTGACTAATTAGTAGAAGAGGGACATCAGCTGACAGCCTCCGATACTTCAAGTTTCAGCGCCGCCAGTAGATACATGCGATTTGAATGATAACTGGAGAGTACATGCAATAAATAATAAAATGGCGATGATAAAATGTTGATTGTAATAAAACCACCTTTAACAAAAGCATTCGAAAGGAAGGGGGTGATATGTTTTAGTTTGCGTCGTCATAATGTAATGGTTTTGGACGATCGGGATAATTTTCCCCCTAAAAATTAACAGCTTGTGATTCGTTTTGCCTGGAAACCTCAACTCGTGTTTGATTTACGGAATAATTACGGAAAGTGCGGTTGATCTGCTGTAGGTTTATTGCAGAGTAAGGCGAGAACAACGATCTGCTTGTTGAAGTTGAAATTTAAGTGCAATTTGTGTTTCCCGATGTGTCGTCTGCTAGTATGGCTGCTCACATCACCGGCCTATTAACCTTCGAGCTCTCGATGATATACTGATGAGTGCTGAACACGCAGAATTGCTGAATTCAGCATTCCATGCATCGAAATAGAAAACTACCGTCACACTCTGCAGTAATAAACAAATGAGAAACGCAGTTGTCGTAAGACACCACAAGCGTTTCAGTAAATAATCGTGACGTCACTGGCGTACTTTCAAGACTCAGGTGTATAGATACTGTGGCCTGATGGTTGAAGTAAATACACCCCAGACAGGTGTCATGATGGGCAACTCGGACAATATGACGAGTATGATCGCTCTGACACCAAGTGTTACTGTCATGACCCCTATTACCATGATGGGTACGGGGTTATTTGGTAACATCATAGCTCTTGGTGTGTACCATTGCTCCTGTCCTGCCCATCGCAACCTTCCATTCTATGGCCTGATGAAAGGTCTCCTGTGGACTAACGTGGTGGGTTACTTAGCCGTGTACCCACTCATTGTAGCCGCTTATTTCAACGGTTTGCGCTGGATTGGTGGCCTGCACACCTGTAACTTTCAAGGGTTGTCCACGCTGAGTTTCGGTATGTCTACATCGCTGTTAGTCGGCTGCATGGGATTTGAACGCTTCCTAGCCGTCTGTAAGCCCGCGCTGCACGCTAAACGAGTAGAGAGAAGAAAGATTCCATATCTAATCTTTCTGGTCTGGGTGTTTGCAGTTTTTACCGCTTTCATGCCCATCGTGGGATTTGGTGAGATGGTTCAACACTACCCAGGCACATGGTGTTTTGTCAACTGGCGCCATCAACAAACTGTTGGGAAGTTGTACACCAGCATCCTAGCTGCTGAACTCTCTGGAATCCTACTCCTCGTGTTCTCGTGTCTACTGTCCGTCGTAGGGTACTCCATAATGAAACTGCTACGTTTGGTGCCAAAACAATCTGAGGGAGGAGTAGTTGAAGTAACAGGGACGACAATCAGGCGCTTGTCAGTGAGGAGGACCCGACGGAGTTCAGTGGTTCCTGGGAGCGCATCACCGTGGCTCACTTTCCACTACGTCATGTTTGCAAGCTCGGTTCTGATCTGCGTTGCTCCTGTTGTGGTGAGTCAGAACAATTCCATTCAATTTGACATGCAATTAAAAAGTCTGTTTACTCAAACCGCAAGGAAGATCGCTGAATTACCAAGAGCACATCAGATTGCTCAAACTAGTGCTTTCATGTAGAGCTTCGCATATACATGTAGAGCTTTGAATATAGAGCTTCATCTCACTTCTTTGTAGTAATTTCTTGATTCTTGTTAATTGTTTGTTTTCCTTTCTCCAAAAAAAGATGAGGATAATCCTGAATGTTGCGGGCTTTGAAGAGGACCATTTCGCTACTTTTCGAGCCATGGGATTCGCTGAATGTTTCCCAGCCAGTGCCCCGTGGATTTACATGCTACTACATCAGAGGCTGTGGCAACGATTCCTTCCTTGTTGCTTCTCTAAACATCTTCCAAACATCGATGGGAGATATGTGAATTACCATTGTCATCCTCCTGAACAAGCTAGGAATCATAACCACGTTGGGTCTGAGGCTGGCGACAATGGTGCGGGTGAGACGCGCGGTGCTAACAACAATTTGCAGCCCAACAACTTGGAAGGAAGTACTGGGTACAAGACGGTAACTGAAGATGGTTCTACAATGGAAATCCTGACAATCAGGAATGTGGCTCGGAAGAATCAACAGCAGAGATCTAAGACAGGACAGGCAGTAAAACTGCAGTCATGGAAACCACTGATCGAGTCTCCCAATTCAAATCCAAGGTAGGTCAGATAGGCGTAGCGTGATGTTTACAAACAACGCAATCTTGCCGACACGTTATTGTATTACAATAAGGTACTTGTAATGTGTTCTGAAGTGGCATGCCCAATGTAAATTGTAATTTGCTTTGACTAATGCTGATCACTCACGTTATGACTGCATCCTGATGAATGCAAGATACGTGTTTATTGCCCAAGATGTTAACGTCCAAATATCCGAAAACGTAATGCACAAGTCACTCGTCTATTATGTTCCAGCTGAATGGTAACAAATTGAATTTTCTTCTACAAAGTGAACTTTTGTTTCTAGGCACATTCTAAACAGTGTGGGATGAATGTGAACACTTCATAGAAAGGACTGCCGCAATGTTTTTAATTCATATCGAAGCCACTGTTGCAATTTGAGACAGGATCCAAGTCATATAACTTACTCAGTATTTGGCAAGTCTGTCTTTTGTTAATAGTTATTTCTTCTGAACATTTTTACGTGCTTTGTACTTTTGCCGAATGATGAATGTGCACCCAACTTCGAAATGGGCACGCTTGAAAATGTGTAGCGTGGTTGTAACTACAAGCATCACATCAATATCCATGGAGTTCACACGAAAAAATAAACAAACATGCATAGTTTACAAAGCACTTCCCTCCTAACTTTCATCTGTCACTTCTGAATGAATTCACCAATTGATCATCAAGTCCTTTCCATTCTCTTGCAGCAGCAACAGCAAATTGGCCGTGTACAACCACCCAACGCGAGGTCAGGTGACAGATGGTCCCACCTATCACCTGACCGATCACATGCACATGAACCATCACTGTTCAGATGGAAGCATGACTCGGGTGGAGTACCACGCCCTCATGCGGATGATGGATGAGGATTCACGTGAAAATGTGTCAATAGACGATCATGCAGAGTTGGCTAAGGCCTGTACATTCGGTAAAGAATCAACTATCTGACATTAAAAAAAATTCATCTAACTATGCCTATAGAGGGCGCTGTATCAGCAGTCACGGAGGAGCTAAATCTCCCTGTGCATACAGTCTTGATCATACGGAGTTCGTAAATTACAAGGGTAGTTCATGTACATGTACATTGGAAAGAATCCACTATCTGACCAAGACGCGTCACGTCAACGCAATGTCAGCGGTTTAAAATGAATTAAACCTGAACATCATCTCCCTATAGGGGGCGCTGTATTATACCTAGCAACTATCATGACTGTATACTATGTGTATTCATGCATAGTCAGGTCCAAAAACGAACAGAGTTGGCAACATCCTGTACATTCGGTAACTTAGAATCAAATATCTAAGCACGGATCGCAATATCGAGAGATGAAAAAAGTATATCTACCTAAGAGGGCGCTTTCGATATGAGCGAAACGCTTTATAATTACAATATCATGAAGTTATATACAACTGGGACACTTCCCAACGATTTTTACATTACGTGTCTCTTGAGATTCTCGCCATAAGGCTGCTGGTATCTTACTATCTTGACATAAGCAGCAATACCACGAGACTTCCACAGTTTGGTGCTCCATTTTATACAATTATGATTTTAAAATAACTTATATTTCTGGTATAATTCGCAAAGTAATTACAAAAACACAACCACCACCATAGCTAACTAACACCTCCTTGTATAATAGTACTCGTTGAGGCTCTTAGGTCAAGACAGATAACAGTAATGGACCCTTCTACGGACAACCTGTCTGTTCACTCGTCCAGTTTCTCGCACCACAAAATACTCCCACAATGCACTGCTACCTACAGTCATAAATTTATTAGAGAAATATGCACCTAGTTTTAATCGTTAAAGATTGATCTTGTAGAATCAGAGAGTGCGAAACGTAAGCGTATTGTTGCTTTAATGTTAAAATTATTTTTCCAAGTTAAAACAAAATATTGATTCCACGATATTGTTTTTTTATATAACGCGCGAGCGTTTTGGTGATATAATATTCATCAGTTTGAATGGCTCACAGTAGTCACACTACTTACTGCAACAGGTTATTTTGTGAAGATGTTTTCATGCAAGAAAGATGTTAATGGTTTTTTATTGATTGTATTAAAGACGATAAAATGGAATGTTAGTAGTGTATATGCAGTGACCGATAAATCGGTCAGACGTATGTAGTGTTTCAAAAAAGGATCTAGTAAACAAACAGAATGGCTTTTATAGTGCTCACACATAAGAACATTAAGTTTTTGTGTTTACTGTAGCGTCGTTGCTGATCGAGAAGGCAAAGCACGCCCTCTCGTGTCACAGCTTGCGACATCGCTTCTTGAGACATCATTACAAGTAGGAGATTGGCATGCTGGTAATGCTGTCTCCGTATCAATGTGATGCCTGGGTTAGCCCCCCCCCCCCCCCCCCCCCCCTCCTTCTCAAGAACCTGAGCCCTTTATCGTAGCCTTGTCTACGAGTTTTTTCCGAATAACTTTTATTTGCTGAAAGTAATTTTTGCTATCCGTATACAATTAGTATTCGATTTGCATATTTTGTATAATACAATCATTATTATGCTGATAATTGATCAATCTGTGATTCGCGTTTAATCAAATTAATATGCTGAATGAATTCTTTATTTGGGAAATGTGGACATGGCGTTTGTAATAATTGTAGTTTTGGATTGAAAATCATGTATGTGCATGTATAGGTGTAAAGTGAAATTAAGATTTACGTCTGTTTTTATGGATTATTTCATTCATATTTTTATAAGGTGAGGGAACTTGATACTCATTATGTTTTGTAATTAATACTTATAACATCAGCACAGTGATGGCCATCTTTTGCTATAGGCCTACTACGTGCATTCAGAAACTATCAAAGATGAAAGTCGTGAATTTTCACCTAAACAACGTTTCCAATAGAAGTCAAATTTAGTTGTTGTTGACAACTTCCTATAGCATTCTTTCTGGGATTTGTGACGATCCCCCCAAATGAAACTATTTTACCCGTCTGTATTTGTTCTCATTTTAATATTAATACCAAATGTTAGGGATCTGGAATGTATTTGAAATCTGTCGAGTAGTCGATAACATTTCGAACACTGAGGTAGATTAGAAAACATAACATTGTGATGTTTGTATGATGTAAGTATGTTATTGTATATTAAAGGTGTTAAATTCTGAGATAATTTTGGGGAACTGGGAGTGAGAATAAAGGTTATTTGTTAAAAGAATGGGAAATCGATATTGCATTTGTCAAATCGATATTGCATTTGTCAGTTGTCTTTTAATTGTTACTTTGTAAACCTACTGAGCAGGGTTAGGAATTCTCAGGGCTACTGTTGCGTATATAGTATGCGGCTGAACGGGGGACAAGGTGATCATTTGCCCTCCAAAATTTTGAGACTTTTGCCGCCTCAGTTTTGTTGATCATCCGCTATAGAGACAACGTGCGCTGCAACCAACCTCCATCTGCCTATTTCAGAAGCATCCTCCGCCATTACATCATAGACTTCAAAACCAGAAGCAATGCATATCACCAGAAGTACGGGGTGAAAGCGAAAGGGGAGTCCTTGGCGATTGACGCAAAGAGTGTTTTACGTCAGCTTACAGTCCGAAAATTAAGAGTATTTCTTGGGTATTTTGTAAAGCAGTATAACAGCTTTCAAGAGGAATAGCTGCAAGAGGTAAACACAATTCTGTCGCCTCGTCTATAGACACGTAAATTGGCAAGGGCGACCCGCAGTCTTTATCATAAACCTTTTCTTAAAGTTTTCAAGATCGTGTTGTCCCTTACATCGGATTAACGTTTGTTGTACCATACAACAAGGAAGGGGAGTTCCTTCCTCTATGGTTGTATCTGAGTTCCTCCAGCAACCCGTATAAATATACCATTATCCCACTGTATATCCATTATATCATTATTAGTGGTTCATTAGACGCAAAGCATGGCCAGCCTTTCACAAAGTCCAACCTGAATGATCTTATTAACGTCATCAGCCTTACCATAGACGCGTCTGCGTCAAGTGACTCATCACTCAATAGGTGCCAGGGTTTTGTATGTTTCCGTGAAGTGAGACCCACGCCTGAATTAGCGGGTACACAAGCCACGTTCTTATCCAGTAAGAATGTAGATTAATAAAAACCCATGTGGCACCAAAACCATATGAAATAAATATTTTTGTTTTCACTGGACAGATGATCAAAATCCTGCTATCGATTTTCAAACAATTATTGATCGCATACCGACAAAAAATTGGCTCTTTTGTACAAAGTAAAAATTTGATAACCATGTTGCAAGAGCACCGTTGTTTTGCCGGGCACCCGGGGTGTCGTCTTATTCTTTATGTTCATTGCAAAGGGAAAAGCATCAATCATGAATACACTTATTGTCAGGGATAATTTATGATAAAGAACAAGCTTCTATTATTTCGACACCGAGCTGGTTCTGGCGGTTACTGCGCAAACACCTCCTAAATAAGTTGTTATCTCGTACAGGTCGGAGTGGTTGGCGCAGTGAACTAAATGTGGGCCTTGTTAACTAAGCCGAGGAGATCTAGGTGCTCAATTCCCTCTTTAAAAGCTTTGACATCGGGAGCAGAGTGAAAATTGGGTGGTTGCAGGTTCCATTCCCTTGTAGTTCTTGGGTAAAGTGAATATTGATAGCACAGTTTGTTGACATTTGGGGAGACAATGATATGAGGACCAAAATTCTTTCTTTATGAAGAGAGTTTTTTTTTTTTTTTTTTTAGATTTCATTATTTATTATTTAACTCAAACATTTGGTGTCATGATCGAGGCTCCCTAACTTGAAGTCAGGTTTATTCCTCGAAAACAACACCTGTTTTCTTACAGCAGGAGTAGATGATGGACCTCGTTTACTTATACCATGGAGCTCACGCTGTCAAGACGGTACCCGTAATCCCTTGACAAAGGGTAACTTTCTCTGTGGGAGGGGGGTAAGTCGATCGATAATGCCGGTAAATGAGAGGCACCGAGTAATGCAGACAATTTGAACAGAACTAGCAACAGTATCGGCAAATATTTACTCCTCACCTTGGTTATTAAATGTACTTGCTAATGATTATTATTCATTTGGGTAATTGCATAAGTGGTTCATTCTTCGAAACTGGATAACTAAAATGCGTAAAAGTCATTTGCCAATCCATTATGCCAACAAATTCGAGAACTACACGCCAACGGCCTTGATTCCGACTGAGTGTACACATCGTTGGGCTGTTGTTAAGACGCTATCGAGAAATGCATTGTTACACAGCTCCCCTAGACATCCTCGTGTGTACACAGAAAAGTGAAAGGAGTACTCAAGATGTGTCACAGTACACAAACACACTCGTTATGGATGGATGATTGTGTTTATCGAGCAATCATCGTCATCACCACCTCCATATGATATACTCCCCGTGTGCGAGCAGAACAGTCCTGTATCATGAAACAGCCAACTGATGAGAGGCAGTGTCAAGAAGCAGTTCAACTATTCTCAAGATACGCGTTCGAACTTAATATCGTCCAGTGAGACTTTCGACACGTCCTCCATTGTTGCCGCCTCGTTTTGTTTGCAGCGTTTACTTCGATCTCTTAAGGGATCAGAATTGGGACTTTACAATGGCGAATGACGCAGTACCTTTCGAGTCACTGGGTGTTATAGGAGTTTGGACACCAAGCACGACTGAGGACAACACCGAAATAAAACTACCGCGAATAGGAAGATCAGCCAGTAATGACTCCGAAATGGTTTCATCTTCTCGAACGCTCCCAGCCAGAGATCGATCTGAACTTTCAGCCTCAAGACTGAGCCCACGACCAGGCCGAAAACTTCGGCTGTCTGTTGAGCAAGCTGACAGGTCGAGACACCGTTCGGTTAGTCCACACTCACCAAGAGATCCCAGACCGATTACCAGGCAATCTTTGACTGGGCAAGACGCATCGTTAGCCGGCAGCTGTATGCGTGATTTTTCTGGTAAGTCACCTCCGCGAGACATCCTAAAGAGTCGCCAATGCTTCATTAGGGAGAGTGAGCCCTCAATAATTGAACCAAATTCTGGAGGGAAATTGCCATCTCCAAGGTTAAGGAAGAGTAGTAAACTAAGCTCACCAGTGTTCGCTAAGAAGACCGTGTCACCTCGCTCAGTCAAGAAAAACCGACTCGGTAATCAAACAGGTGTGATCGAATCTGAGCTCTCGACGAGCCTAAATAGTAACTTTACTAAGGGCTGCCGACCACCAAGATTAAGCAGAGCGAAACAGTCTTCATCAACCGAATCTGAGGATGAGAAGGATTCTCCTCGTGGCTTGAGTCCTCTACCACCTATCTCCGTCTCTCCAAGAGACGCTAACTTCCTCACAAACAATGAGAGCAAAACTTCAATAAAGCACGTGGAGTTTGTTGAAGTGGACGCAAGGCAACCGCCTGGTAAGCCGGATTCCTCGTCTGAGGAGAAACAGCAGCAGTCTCCAATTCGTCAGCGTTCTTCCACTCATCAGGTTGTGAAGAGCAGATCGCTAGACTCAGAACCAGTCGTGCCAAATCAAAGCAAACAAACCCAGCAAACGCGGCCAACGCCCCGAGAGAAAACGCCAAACTGGCTGTTGGAGGACCACCCGTCTTTGCAGTTTTCAGATCAGGCGTCTGCACACATTGATTGCAATAATGTCGAGGAGTTTTTCACAGACCGTATTTTCGACCGTATTCCGTTACCAGACAGGTCCAATATTTTCCAACAGGCTCTTGATGACATGAAGAGCTCCCCCACGCGTCCGTCCAGTCATGGAAGTGACCCTGGTGATCTGCATATTCGTAGATCTTCACTGGTCACAAATTTCCTGGACCTGGCCGCCTTGAGGGATTCGCTCCAATCTCCAAAGACTGAGAATGATAGTCAACTTGACGTGATGTCGGTTGTACCAGAAGGAGAAACATACAAAGAACCCCATCTGACAGCATCCGCTGCCCAAAAAGTCAGTAACTGGGCTGAGCGATCCAGGAAGGTATCGACCCCTACAAGGTTCCTCTCGGTCGACCAGAAGCCGGCCACAAGAAGCGCGTCCCCAAAACGTCGCGTGGTTTCTGAGATACAACCTCCTCGTATGGAGTTTCTTGAACCGAAGACAGATAAACCACGAAGTAAAACAATCTCAGACTCGAAGAGCGATTCTGCTCTCATATCTCCAAGTATTCGAAGGAAGGACGGTGCATGGTCTACTCACAGCGACATAAGTGAAATATCACGTCCATTGCTGAGTAAACGCGCGATGTGTTACGTCATGAAGTTTATCGAGTCAGCCTCATCCATAGCCACTTCACATAGAGCGACCGCTCAATCATCAAATCACATGTCAAGGGACAACAGTGTGTTTCCCAGCATACCCAACAGGTCAGCACGTCGGTCCAGGGATAGGCGGGACTCAATACGAATTGTTCAGCAACTGATTAATGAAAGAAGTCCGTCTGGGGACACGACTGAAATCGCCAGCTTTGATGACTTGAGGAACTGTCGTTACCTTCGAAACATCCGCACTGGAGACGGAAGGAAGGAAGCTTTTAGAACCATCAAAAAGACGACGTACCATGAATGGTGACGTACCATGAATGGTGACGGAACATTCATTGTAACTTTCATTTTTGCATACCATGCATTAGATTAAACGAAATTATGATTCGAAGAAAACATTTCCAGACTTAAGTTGTACCGTCTTTTACAGGCTACAACATAATTAAATCCAAAACGTCATTAGCGTCAGAATCAACTGCCGCTAAACAAACAGAATTTGACATGAACAGCGCATCATTCCAAATAGAGAATTAGATTCAAAATTGACCCACAGGCCATTGATTTTCGAATAACATTGGCTCTATGAGCAAACAAAAAAATTCAGATTTTAAAAAGCTATATTTGAGACTCCTTCAGTTGGGCCGATAGAACGTAATAAATTTCGGCCGTCAAAAAGTGGCATCAGGGTTAACCTTAGGTTGTTTTTTTTTTATACACATGCAGTCAACTCTCGGTTATACAAATTGTGTTAACACACAATCTGGTTATCGTGAACATTAAGCCTTGGTTCGGACTGTGCATGGAACCGAAGCTCCTCTTAAAACACTCTACAAATCTCTGGTAGTTTAAATGAGACAAATTACAATGGTTTAACTTCGGGTTGAACACCACACAACAACATAAAATTGTGAGATTTATTGAGGCTTTTACACTGAATGTCGCCTATTAATTTGACAAAAAAATACATATAGCCAATCCTTAGATTGACAACATGATTGAGTTTTGAATATCATGTCAGCTAATTTGTGATTAAAAAAACAAGATTTCTCCACAAAATTAATAAAATGTTAAAGTAAACCTAGTCGATGTAAACAATTCTATGCGTAGCCCACGGGTAAACGTATCGATCGATTGTATAACCGTCTCCGAACAAGCTGGCGAAGGGATTATTGATAAAAAGAGGTTCAGAAAAAAAATATGTCCTGAATTATTAATGGTATCACTTTACGACTTCATCGATTTATTTTTTACTGCCAAGGGACCTCACTTAGTGCGTGAATCTCGAGAAAGTCACACACAGCTTATTGTTAAAAAGCCTTTTACAATGAGTGACAGACGTTGGTTGCAGTAGCCCTCTACAATGTACAGGGTGAGTCAAAAAAGAAAGTGACCCGAATTCACGATTTTTTTCTTCTTAAAAAGCAATCAAATTTGAAACACCAATGAAGTTTATCATGAAAGAGCATGTTCGTCCACTTATCTAAAAAAAATACTGACATAACTTCTGACATGCTATCAGAAGTTATGCACGTTTTACTAAGAAAACCCATTGTTATAGCTGTCAATGAAATGCCATTGGAAGATATTGATCTGAGTGACAATTACAGATTACACACAAGCATTCAAATACAAATGAGATTTTAATCATTTAAATAAAGACAGAAACATATTCTACTGTCTGATTTTGTGTTTTGAATATGGGGAACAAGTCATCTATTTTTTTTTTCTAAAATATGAATGGCAATTTTGGTATATTTTCCTTTGCAAGTTCTCCTCCATTCATCGAGATGGGAAAATGTCCATGTTTCATTGTATTTGAATACAAGGAAGGAGGCTCGGGGAGGGGAGAGGGTATGGAGATGAAGCAACCAGCTTGCTAGCAAGAAATATATTTTCTGATTGTCTGTACATGTATAGAAAACTTATGCTTTTTTTTCTTCTTTGAACAGCGCCCTCATCGGTCAGATGGAAACCAAGCCCCCCCCCCCCTCCGTTTTGCTTTTTGTTTAGTTTTCGTTTCACTATTTTTTTAAATCATGACTAACCTCCAGCGTGGAGTGCTTTGTCGGCAATTGTCTCTGCCCATTTTCAGTTCGTTATGCGAGGACCGTGGGTTTTTCTGTAATGTGATTTAAGTGTTTACCAATACTGATATCACAATAATAGCGTAGGCCTAATCTGTTTTTTTAATGTGATTAATGTGATTTTAGCCGTATTTTCAAGATTTCTTTTATTAACCACGAATTCGTGTAAGTAGAGATGAAGTTAACACTTTTATTTTTTTACTATAATATACTTTGATTTTCCAAAGTCTCTGGTGTCACAGAAAAAAAGCGAAAGCAATTAACAACAGAAGTACTTGACATAAGTTTAATTTGATCAAGTTGGATTTATAAACTGGTCTTGCTGTCCCCAAGCTAGCTACAATGTATAACACTGGACCTATATTCCATTCGTGAATTGATCTTTGTGTCCTCAATGAGCCTCCGTAAAGTCAAAGGTCGTGGTCACAGAGCACACAATACAAACGCCTGCAGCAAAATTTAATTTGTAGGATCTTTTGTCGTAGTTTTCGTGTCATTACGTGACAGGGTTTGTGTATATCAATGACTAAGCAACTATCGCTGTACACTGTGCTGCAAAATGCGTACTTGACCTGAAATATAGGCCTAATTTGTTTTCGGTGCAAGTTTACAAGGCCTGCTTCAGAAGCATACATGTACTCGAATGTTTGAAAACTATTTGACCTTTTTCTTTTTTTAAAGTGCACGTCTTTAAACATTTAAACAAATTTCAATGCTTTTTTTCCCTTAAAACTGAGGAGGCTGTTGTGATATTGTTTTAGGAACACACTCTTTAGTTTAGGGGTTTTCTGTTTAAATTGTGAACCCAAAAATGTGCTTATTGAAAACATTTGTGAGAAAAGTTTTGCTCGTCGATCATGACGTACTGAAACTCCCGCAAATCACCAAAAATAAGAAAATTGTACAAATAGCAAAATATCAACAATTAATTCTGGCAACTTTTGGTGCTGTAACACAGGTTTCTGCCTAAAACGACGTACATCAAACTTTTGCTCATGAATATGGAAATTTACATTAGCATAAAAAAGGTACCAAAATACTCTTGAAAATGCCAACATGAACATCGAAAAATAAAAATTACATGTGTCCTTTCCAGCCGAATTCAGGCGTTCTTAAGCGCTTCATCGAATCATCCTGTATTGAAAATTCAGGGATTTTTTTCGTCGACATATTATAGGTCTCATAAAAATAAACTTAATGTGGATCTTTTAATTTCAGTAGAACTTAAAGCTCGAGGTCGGAGCAGTGCAAATCAGCTCCGTCACCCCGAGGCAACTTCCATTATTAGCATTACATATGGCAAGGTGCCAAACATCAGCCTACAGTAGGTCTATACAATGTCAACCCCAATTAATTGAAGGCAAATGACCGAGTAAATCCGTATTGCTATGGTTACCATCAAAACGACCCAAGCATATACGAGCTGAAGCTTTACCCCCCTGGCTGCACTTCTCGTCACAATAAAAGAACTGTAATAAGCTCGCTCTCTTTCCGCATTTGGTACATCAAGTACAAAAGAAATCATGCAATAAAAATACAACTTAAAATAGAAACGACCTTGCGATTTCAAAACACTGTGTGTTGTGTTGATACTGGCCAATTGCCAAACGACTTTCATTTTTAGATTTCGCAGATATTTGCACACGCGAGAGTTGTACAATCCGGTTCAACGTTTATTTTCGGCTCAACCTTTCGTTGACAAAGGTCTGAACCCTGGGGAGCGTTCTGCAAAACAGTTCTGGAAAACAGTTTACGTTAAATCTTTCGCAATTGTAGGTGTAGAGAGCTCTAGTTAAGTTAGATGCGCATCATTTTGTGTCTCTTCGATGGTTAAACTTATTTTAAAGCCACCTTAAATGAGGCATGAATGCTTCGGATTGGGCCTGATACATATATCAGTATTTGGACAGGGGGTGTACAAAATCAACGATACCATCGTCAGAGGATCCTCTCCCACCTACACGATCCTACAATCTACTTTGTTGTCAAGTAAGTTGTTGTTGGACACATCTCACTTGCCTTCAGGATGGAACCAGACTTCGGTGAATTTCTCTTCACCAGTTCATCTCCTCCTCGTCAATATTCCAACCTAACTCACAGCCACCGTGACAAACCACCAAATGCTTTCTACCGATCTGCCAGCAACCTGTCTCCCGTAAGCGAGGGCAGTGAGACAGACTTAGAAGCCAGGGGAATAATTGGCAGTAATTTCATCCCGGACCCAGTTCACGTCATCGCCACCAGCGTCCCACCAAGCAAGACGTTTCAGATGCTCACACGAGGAGGGATTTTTGAGGATCCTGATGACCCTTGGTTGGCTTTGGATGACTTCTCTGAAACGCGGGCTCATGTGCCTCAAATCAAAGAATGGTTTTCAGAAAACACGACTCCTGATCGCAACGCAAATATATTGAATCAAGGAATAGCATCACCTTCACTGAACAATCAACGGTCGCCTCTTACCAGGCCCAAGATGCGGAACAATAACTTCAATGCTGGGCCAACTAAACCTACACCAAAGTCCCCTGTGACGTTGAAAAGACCAACGGATGGTGAGACCGACACGATGCCACTACCTACTGCCGAGCATTCGGTCGAGCAGGCGGTGCACAGAGAACGAGTCAACTCATTGCTGCAACCATCCAAAAGCAAAACTGCACTCAAAAAAATCAGTCCCCCGAGCGTTTTGGCGGTCAATCTTCCCATTTCGCGAAAGATCTCCCCACCTAGTGAAACTTCAAACAGCAAGATTCGATCACAACTTCAACCACCATTGCCTGGAAAACCTGCCCCAAATGCCGCCTCACAGAATAAACTCTTCACACCATCCCCCGTATCTCCGTCGAGAAAACCCAGCCCCTCTCGCGCCTTGCTCAGTGGAGCCTCCCGTAAAATCAGCCCACCAATCTCCTCCACGCATGACAACCCAAAAGTATTCAGTCAACGTTATCGTCGGAAAAGTCTGCCTGATATCCGAGTTGGCACACCAATGGAAAATCTGACAACTTTCTTCAAAGCTCCCTCTATCGACGGGATCAAATCTCCATCGAGGCAGGCATCATCGCCAAGACGTAAGACGTCTGAGCACTGAATTCCAACGCTTCATTCAGAGGAGGGTTCTTCAGTTCGTGCTACAATCCGCTGCCTTGATTAACTCCCTTGTGACGTTTTGCTAACTTTGTTGGTGGACATTGGGGATTGTGCATCAACCTGAATCCTTCACGAACTGCGCAAACGAACTAGAGCTGCTGGAAGACATGCATATCTTCACTCCAGCTGTGCTCCAGATAAGACTGAACGAAAAGCATTCTATATTAAAGTAAAATATGACTTCTAAATGTCAAAATTCTCAGATGTTTTACATTAAAATAGGAAATATCTATACACATGAAAAAAATTGATATTTTCTGTTAAGAACGAATTTATTTCTATATATATATTTAAGTAGACTATTTTCGCAAGTCTTCACATAATAGCTCTTCTATAAATTTATTTAAATAGACTATTTTCGCCAGTCTTCACATAATAGCGCTCTTATTATGAAATAGTATCCTATTAATTAACATCAAATTACATTATTATTTTTTTTTTCAATTTGGCTACAAATGAGATTGCTTCAAACGTACAGGCAACATGCCCAAGGAGCCCTTTAACACATTCCAACACCACCGGAGGACGGATGTGCTATTCGAGAGAATAGTATCTCAAAAAATATGAGGGATATCGGTCAAAATTGTTGATTTTTTCTTAAACGAAAATCTATCATTTTTGCTCAAATCTTTGAAACAAAATGCTGTTTGAATATTAAATGAAGGTCCTCTGGCATCCATAGGCATGTCTGAGATTTTGCAGAAGATTGCAGAAAACATACCTAAGGGGCTCTGTAACACACTCCAATTAACTCGATTTGGGGACAGATGTGCCATTCAAGAGAACTTATGTGTCAAAAATATGGGGGGAATCGGTCATAATTGTTACATTTTCCTCAATAGG